CCCAAAGTTATACTATATTCTAACTAGGTACACTATCTAGGCGCAATTAGTTAGTTAAGGTAGTTAGGTTATAAATTTAAAATTAGGTGTTGCTATTTGCACGCATCTAGTTTTTGGCGCCGTTACCCGGGAGTGGCTTATTTGATTGTTTATTTATTTGCTGTAGGTTGATCGATCATTTCTGTGGGGTAAGACCTGCAAAAAGTTACTTTTAAGCTTAGTTTTTTTTGCTAGTACTGAGTTCACGACGTGAGCTTTATTGGCTCACGACGTGAATCCAATAATTTCCATTTTTCTTGTTTTTCTGTTTTAGTTCAGTTTTACGTTTTTATTATTTTGTTTTATTGCAGGAGTTCCTGACTAGAGTTTCCAACACACCTTTGGTGCCACCACTTGAAGATCCAGAGTCAGCCCTTCACAAGAAGATGAATAAGAATGCGGGAGTGAGCGAAACACCAAAAAAGTCATCTTTCCAAGACCTCAAATTAGTCTTTGGAAGGAAGTCGGGAAAGAATGTAGGAGAGTCGAGTACATCATCAAAGGACAAAAGCAAGATAGAAAGCTTTAAGTAAGATCCAATCCCGAAGGATACCGAATACGAATCCGAGGCTGAGTTTGGACTATATACAAGCGAACCCGAAGACGAGCCAAGAAACGAGATGGCGAACATTGAAGAGATGTAAATGGGAGCTTACAAGAAGTGAATTCGAGACGATGTTGGTCCAGGGTTGGTACAACCCGCGATTCCTGCCAGTGCCACCGTCGAGCTAAAAGGACACATCCTTACTGCACTTAAGGATGTTCCATTTTATGGAAAAAATCATGAGGATGATTTTAAGCATCAAGATGAGGTCAATGACATTGCAGATTATTTCAATGTCCCGAATGTTAATAGAGATACCATCTTACTAACGATGCTTCCTGTTACTTTTAAGGGAGCTGTGAAAGATTGGTTAAAAGCACTTCCACCTGGTATAATCACTACTTGGGCTTAGATGCGCGAACAATTTTTGGACCAATTTTACCCACCATCAAAGATATCTAAACTCCAAAAGGCGATAGCCAATTTTGAGCAACAGCCAGGGGAGTCACTTTACGAGGCATGGGAGTGCTACAAAGGGTTGCTAAGGAATTGTCCTCAACATGACCTCAACATCCAACAAGAGGTCTCTATATTCTATGATGGGGTGAATGTTATGACAAGGCAACTCCTTTATTCTCAAGGGCCACTGAATAAGAAAAATCCAAGGGAGGTTAAGGAGTTAGTTGAAGAATTCGCAAAGCATTCTCGTGAGTACCATAATCCAAGAAATGAAGGAGTTAAAGGAAGCGGGGGTGGAAATTTTGTAGACATGGATGTTGTACTGGCCATGCTAGATACAATGGACAAAAGGATGACAAAAATGGACCAAACGATACATGCTATAAGAGTTGGATGTGAAAGGTGTAATGGTCCACACTTGACCAAGGATTGCAGCTTAGATGAATATGGGAACAAGAAGGCTCAAGTATGCTACTTGAGTGGGGATAAGTATGATGAAGATTGTAGAAAGCCAAAGAAGGAGTGGCTGCCATACGATGAGTACAAGAAGCAGAAGGAAGAGAAATACAAGCAGACAGGTTGAGGCTTTTACCAAAAAGAGCAACCACCAGCCGAGAAGAAAGTAGACTTGGAAAACATTTTGACCCAATTTATGGAAGCTTCCAAGAAAAGACATGATGATACCGATGCAGTGCTAAAGGAACACATGAAAATGATGAAAGAACAGAAGGCAATGATGATTGAGCAGCAAGCTTCATTAAGAAATCACCAAGCATCGATCCATAATTTCGTAGTCCAAATTAGTCAACTAACTACTTTGGCGAGCAACAAATTATCCTCACAATTTCCCGAAAAGAATGCTCAATCCCATGTTATGATGATTGAGACTGAAGAAGAGGTCATCTCTGAGTTCCTAGAAGCATTAGAAGTGGAGCCAAGGCAGCCCGAACCAGAACCGAAGAAGTTAAAGATCGAAAATCAAAATTTTGATGAAACACAGAATTCACGACGCGAGCCCTCTATTCTAACAAAGTGGGATCAGTCTGAACAGAAAACTTTAGATAATGTTTCGGCTTATCGTTCACCTTTACCATTTCTGCCCCAAGCTTATCTTAGTCCATTGGAAAGGGAGCATTTGGAATTCATAAAACACGTGAATGGTATACCAATTAATACTCCTTTTGTCGAGTCATTAGCCAAAATTCCTGAGTATGCAAAGTTCCTACAAGATTTAATGGATACTCGTCAACAATTGAAGAACAATTCCAAGGTGGTTTTAAGTGAGCAAAGTTCAAGGATAGTGTTGGGAGAGTTACCAAAGAAGATGGGAGATCCTGGACGCCTCACTCTTCCATGTGAGTTTGGGAACAATCTGAAGACTTATGCTTTAGCCGATTCTGGGGCTAACATAAATTTGATGCCTTTCTCATTTTACAAAAGCTTAATATTCAGAAGATGAAGGCTACCAAAATGACAATTCACAAGGCAAACCGTTCAGTGACACAACCAAGGGGCGTTATATAGGAAACATATTAGTAAAAATTGGGAAATTCTTTTTCCCAATTGATTTTGTGATAATGGGTATGAAAGAAGATCCCAATGTCCCCATTATTCTTGGTTGCCCATTACTTAATACTGTTGGTGCCTTGGTTAATATTCGCGAGTCCAAGCTCATTTTGAGGATAGGAGATGAAAATGAAACTTTTGGAACAGAAGATGGTTTCCAAGGAAGTGATGTTCAAGGAGAGGTTTTCAATATAGATGAAGAGAACGAACTTGAAGAATTAGAGAAGCTCATGGAGGAAGAAATCAAAACAATTCAACAAGTTAAACAAACAAAACTGAGAGCATTTGTCCCGTTTTTAGTTGAAGTCATTGCATACACAAATCCAACTTCATGGGTAAGTAAGGAAAGCGATGAAATATCGAGTGATGATGAAGACGAGGTAGCTTCCAAGGAGACAAGTGTAATGGTGAAGGAAGAAAAGATTCCTATGGAGTTGAATAATGAAGAAAAATTAGAGACTAGAGGGATCAAAAGGAAGTTTGATGAAGACAAGAAAAAAGCTAAAAAGGAGAACTCAAAGAAGGTGTATATTCGACGTGTCCAAGCTTACAAGAGGCGATGGAAAGAACAGAAGATTCAGGTGGTGATGGACTCTCTCTGAAAACTCAACGTAAGGAGGCACAGAGTCCAGCTCACGACTCCATAAAAAAGAAGTGCTTCTCGGGAGGCATCCCAAGTTTGGTTTGAATTTTCTTTTCTTTTTCTTTTAGTTTTTGCATTTTTAGGAAAAACAATCGTATCATCCAAATCCTTTTATGCATGATAGAACACTAAGTGTGGGGTCCCTAAAATTAAGTGGTAATAAATTAAGAATTATAATGAATGAAAATTAGTATTTATTAAGTAATGTTGTGATCAGACAGACTTCACGATGTGAGTCAATATGATTCACGATGTGAGTCCATGATAACTTACAGAGTCCTTGTTCATTAGCCTAATACATGTCCCAGCCTAATTGTTAATTAATTTAATGGCCCATCTACTCAGCCCAAGAACATTCACGGCGTGAATCGATAGAATTCATGATGTGAATTTGGAAGAACACGGGACCACAGATAAGGGACAGGGAACAATTTAAATTATCCACTTTCTTTATTCCTCATGAAGTGAAGGTGTTCTTCCTTGCCCCCCCATTCCGATTTCAGCCCTATTGCACTTCATTTTCCATTTTTGTTTACGTAAACTCCCTAATAAGGTATTCATTTCTTGTTTTTAATAGATAATTTTGCTTTAATAGTTGAAATTAGGGCTAGGGTTTGGTGTTTATTGCGTTGTTGAAATTTTCCCTAAAATTCATGTCATAGCCATTGCATGTGACTGGAATGTGTTTAGAATTGTTCTAGTATAAAACCGAACCATTATTTTGGCTCGATTTGAACACTGCATTGATTGATTCTGACCTGCGATAAGGAACTCACGACGTGAATTCCTAGAATTCACGATGTGAATTCTTGGCGTGAATAAACCTTAATTAAGTTTAATTCTAATTTTTTGGATTTTTCTTGTTTGGTTTTTGTTGTTTCTTGTTTTGTAGAAATGGCTCCTAGATGTGAGGTTCCAACAGGGGTGGCTATTTTGCACCCGTTTTATGTTTTTCCAACAACCTTATCGCGGGATGTTTTCACTCATTGCAACAACCAGTTAGGATGGTTGTACAACTGAGAAATTGTTGTTGCACCCACAACTAATTGGCAAAGGTTAAGGGAGGTGGGATTGGTTGATCGGTTAAACCCACTTCTTACAAATTTATTTTTGGGGAACGGATTTTCTTTTACATGAAAGGGGTGGCATAATTTCTTTTCTATCTAGGAAAGGGTGTACAAGGAGTTATGTGTGGAGTTCTTTTCGATTGTGGTATTCCATGAGAATGTCCAAGACCCGACCTACAAATAAGCCTTGGTGTTTTGTCGAGGTGGAGAATACCGAGAATGTAGTTTTGCCGAGTTTTCTTGGAGGATGGGGTTGTGTGGAACCCAAGAAAGCATGACTCATGAGTTTGTTATGTTTTTTAGGGAGGCTGCCCGTAGATACGAGAATGGGGCATCGGGGATCGACTTCTGGAGTAACATTTCATACGGGGTGTTCAATTCCAGGGTGTCGCCGGAAAGTAGTATCAAATCCCCTATTCACCGCCTTATCCACCGACTCATCACATTTTCTATCAACCACAAACACCATGGGGACAAGGTTACCAAGATGAACTTGTTCTTTTTATGGTCCTTTTTACAACTAGGGGTGTGTTGCAACATCACATACTTTCTAGCCTGCTAACTGGCAGATTATGTCGTGAGTTCCCGCCATGGGAGCCCTATTTGTTGAGGCCATTTTATTACCCGTTTGGCCCAGTCCTATGGTGTTATAGTCCCCAACATCACGAGATCCTTGACTTGTATGGAAGGTAATGAATTTACTTTGGGATATTTGGAGACGACGAAGGTGGTAAGGAATTATGGATCACATTGGGGGATTATGAATTTTAATGATGATGGTGATGAGCAACCGAACGACCAACCCAAGCAACAACCACAACCGATGCCAAGAGGAAGGAAAAATGTAAGACGAAGAGGCGAAAGAGAACAACCGGTGCACCAGAATGCACCCATGGGAGGACTCAACTTTAGGGGAGACATGACAAGTTACTTTGATCAACTATCGTTAAGTGTGAACTGGATTGGTGGTATGGTGGAAAATTTGGTGCAACAATTGCATGTTGAGTAACCTCCTCATTTGGGGTATCATTACCCAATTTTCCCTAGGTAGAGTGAGTATCAAAGTCAAGGAGGAGATGGAGCGGGAACGAGTGGAGCTCAAAGGGATGAAGATGACGATTGATCGCTTTATTTAGTTTTTAGTTTTTAGTTGATTTGGTTTTTCTTTTGTTTTTGAAATTTGATTTGGTTTGTAAGAATCTTTAAGCTATTATGTTACATTGCTTTTTTTTTCTTTTGGTTTTTATTTTCAGATTTGCTTACGGATTCACGGGAAAAGAAAGTCGATATGAGCGTAAACGAATAGCCAGACATCGTTTAGAGTCTAGATTCGAGAGTCGAGACCCACAATTGGAAATAAGTGTGGGGTGAGTGGAGAGAGAGGATAAAGTTAGAGAAGTGTCATACAAATTCTGCATTTAGAAGAGTCTTAATCAATTAAGATGTTGGGGTGCAATGCCAAACTCAAGGAAGAATGGGCAGTTTCAGTTTTATGTCGCCCAGTACTCACGTCGTGAGGCTTTATTCCTCATGTCGTGAGCTCGGTTAGATAGGTTTCAGAATCCGCATTTTCGCGTTTTCACGTTGTGATCCATATTACTCACGTTGTGAGTATCTATTTTCACAATAATGAAGCCTTTTCATTCCCATTCACCACATATATCACCACCATTCTATTTGGAGTTCTTTTATGAAGATTATTCTCGCCGTTTCCTCTCTCATACAATGTGGCGTATGCTTTCCCACATTATTCTTCATGTCTTGGAGATTTGCATCACATTTGTTGAAGATTGAAGTTTTGATTCTATAATTTGTTGGCACATTACGAGATCAAGATCCAAGTTCCTATTTAGAACAAGTCCATATTTAAGATGCACATTTCATCCACACAATTGGAGTTCGATCACGCCACTACTCCCTGGGGAGTCTGTTCCATTTTCTCCCTTTTCTTGCTTTTAATTTATATTATGCATACAATGAGGGCATTGTATGTAATAAATGTGGGGTAGGGGTCGAAAAAGTAAATTTCTAGAAAAAATTTAAAAATTTAAAAATTTAAAAATTTAAAAATTTAAAAATTTAGTAATAAATTTTAAAAGGTTTGAAATAATAATAATAATTAATCTAGTAATAATAATTTGAACTTTAGTTGCTAGTGTTGTATGAGATGATCCAATGAGAGCTCAAATGATTAGTTGAGCCAATATATGTTATAGTGCATTTGTGGCCTCTTTTATTCTAGTGAAATCATGGGACAAAAACACAACATCGCTTAGTTTGAGGAATGCAATATGTTTAGCAGCCTGTACCTGAAATGTATACAGGAAAGCTTATGAAGTCATTGCACATAGGCTAATACCTTAACCAATAAGGGTTAAAGTTAAGCGCCCCTGCTTAAGCATGTAGGTCTTTGAGTGAAGGAAAAAAGTGAGTACTTGTAAAAAAAAAAGAGAGAGAGAAATTACTGAAAAGTTGAAGACTTTTTGGAGCAATCAAAGTATAAAGTTTGAAGATCGAAGATCAAAAATTCTGAAAAAATTAAAAGTTGAAGATACCAAAAATCGGACAAAAAGGTGGTGAATTCAAAGAAATTGAAGATCAAATATCAAAGAAAGTGAAGAATTTAAGAGCTCCATTTTGTGGTATCTTAAAGTTGTAATTCTCTAGATTATGTATGCTTGGGTAGCTTTACAAAAATAACTTGAGGTTAGTAAGTTTTCAGCGGATGGATTCGGAGGGATGCATAAAATGAACATTGTTCAAAAGAAGTGGGCGAGTGTTTATGAGGATTGTGAGTATTTAGAATTAAGGGGGGTCCATAGGAAAACTTTAGACATAAATGCATGCGTTGAGGTCTTGGTATAATGGTTGAGTTTGAAATGGATTGCTTTATGTGATGTTGGTGATGAAGGTTTGACTTAAAAATAATTAGATTTGCTTGAGGCCAAGCAAAGAATAAGTGTGGGGTATTTTGATATTGTCATATTTATACATGTTTTTAGGCAATATTTATTTACATTTTTATTAATATTTTGGTTATTAGCATAGAATAATGGTGCTTATAAGCTTAAATTATATTTTGCAGCCAAAATAGAAGCATTTCCGAAGAAAGGGAATAAAATTGTCAAAACATGGAACTTTGGAGGTTTGAAGAAAATAAGAATTAAAATTCAGCAAAAATACGTACTCACGACTTGAGAATTAAAGGCTTACGACGTGAGTTGGAGTATTCTAGAAGATTGGCATCGAAAGGAGGAGTCCTTGTCTAACACGGATAGCTACATTCTCATGAAGTGAGACATATTGGCTCACGACGTGAACCTAGAAAATCAGAAACTATTTATATCCTTGTTGATTACGACTTTGGAGAATTTTTGGCTGATTGAAGAAGTTCCTGGAGACGATTTTCAGAAGAGGAGAAGGTCTGGAATAGGATTTCAACACCAAAGGAGAAGAGAAGCTCATAATTTGACTTTAGATTTGGTACTTTTCAACATGCTTATGAATATGATTTGTGTTAATTTGTTTTCTAGGATTTCCAACTAAATCTAGCTGCTTCTGTTAGCTAGATGAAGTTGGAATTCATGGATTTAATATGTTAGATTTGATGTACTTGTTGGTTATGACTTGTGTTGATTGATTTCACCTAGCAAGTTTGATTTAGTATTTGATTGCTTTTAATTCTTGTTCTGTGTAGTTAGTGATTATTAATCTGCACGAATTAGAATACCTTGTAATTTAGTAAACATTAAATAATTAGAGCTAGGATCATCATCCTTAGTTATGCAGTTAAGTATTGAATTAAGTTGTGCTAGAGAACTCAAACTACGAACATAGGTGTATTTTGCAAATCAATCTTACATAGCTCCAATCTATTAAATGATTAATTCTGTGTTAACTTATGTGTGAACATACATTGATCTACATGAATTGATTGAATATTAGTAAATTTGGAATTAAATTGCTAATACTTTATTAATTGGTAACCAAAAGTAATTATCATATCTGATTTATAAACCATTGAGGGAAAGCAAATTCGAACTAACATAAGTGTTTGTTTATTGATTGAATTTGAGTTAACAATTAAGTTTCTATGATCTTGCAAAATCAGATAAAACCCCCTTTCTTTGTTAATAATTAGGTTAATTTATAGTAAGTAAATTAACTAGTAAATATTGTTCCCTATGACCGACACCCGACTTACCCAACGTTATACTATAATCTGACTAGGTACACTGTCTAGGTGCAATTAGTTAGTTAAGGTAGTTAGGTTATAAATTTAAAATTAGGTGTAGCTATTTGCACGCATCATCTATGCTTGGTCACATCTTATAAAGTTATGTTTCTTTTAAAATATGATTTGATATGTATTTTTGGTTATTAGAAATGGAAGAGAAACAACAATGGCCAAATGACAATCTAAAATGCTTATTGGAAGCTTGCATTAAAGAAGTAAACAATATAGGTAGAAAATGACTAAGTTTACACAAAGATTCATGGTTCTTGCTAGGAAGAGTTGTTAAGGAAAAAATTGGCATGAATTTAACTAAAAAACAAATAAAATACGCACATGATAATCTTAAAGCTAAAATCCTCTAACCAACAGTTTCAACTTAACAACCAATTAGTGGGATGAGGTTTTTTTTTATTTATTATTATTATTTTTTATTATTTTTTATTTTTTCTATAGGACGGAAACATTGTTTAGGTTTTTTGCATGTATTGGAACCATTGATTGAGTTTTTTTTTTTTCTTGTTGGACCCATTTATTAGGTTTTTTTGCTTGTGTCAGAACCATTAATTCGGTTTCTTGTTTGTGTTGGAAACAGTGTTTATAACTTTACGATTTCTGCAATTTATGTTATGACAATCTGGTTTTTGTATTTGCTTTGAAATTTGATTTAGGTTGTTTATTAAGAAATGTTGATGGTTTAAGAGGTTCATAACGGATCACCATAAAAATATACTTTTCGTAGTTCTATTATATATACACATATGTGTATTATTTTGGAAGTAAGGTGTGAAGTAAATGGAAGATAATGATTCGAACTTGTTAAGATGTCAATACACATTATATTTATTGGAAGATAATCATTTACAATGCATTGGAGTATTACAATTGTCCCGTGAATCATTTGTCTAACTAGTAGTCATTTTAAAGTAGATTATCCATTAAAGGATAACAAACATGTATCAGTTGAGGAAAAGATTATTATGTTTTTTTATGAGGATTTGTTATAATCAACGTTATGTGATTATCAAGTGTAAATTTCAACACTCAAATCGAACAATTCATACATTTTTTTTGAAGTGTTGGATAAAATGATGATTTTTGCAAACGATATGATAGTACCAACTACTTTTAGTCCGAATTCAAACATTCTAAGACATAATAAGAGGCAACAACAAGTTTTTTAAGGAAGTGGCTGGTGCACTTGAAGACACTTTGATACATACTATTATACCTACTAAGAACCAAACTTATATAAAGGTAGGGAAAAGAAGTTTGTTACGAAAACATATTTGAAATTTGTGGCTTTAACATGGTTTTTATGTTTATTGTGGTCCATTGGGATTGAGTAATAGTTGGTTCTAGAATACTATCAAAAGCATTAACAGATCAACATGCATTATTTTTTGTTTCCACCACATGTATTTTTTTAGTTTTAAATATTTCTATCTTAGTTTGAAAATTAATTAATTATTTGCATTTTCACAGACAAATATTATATTTGTGATGTCGAATATGCACACATTCAAGAATTATGTCCCTGTATCATAACGTGAGACTTGGAGATTTTCGTCAGAGACATGCATTAGCCAATAAAAAAAAATTAATCATGCACATGCAAAACTTTGAAACATCATTGAGTGTGCTTATGGTGTTATGAAAACATTTTTCCCTATATTGAAGAGGATGACACCATTTCCATTAGTTATACAAAAAGATATTATCATTGTATGTTTTGTACTTCATAACTTTATAAGAAAAGATGTGATGAATACTTC